AAATGTCTCAGAAAATAAATTCTTTAGTGAAAGAACTACTCATTTTCAAGTTGTAGTGGGAAAGTCATAGAATAAATTCAAAAGGAAAAGACATAAAATCAGAAATAGAATCCTTTCTCATTCATGTTAACAGCTTGAATGATTTTTCAAGACAAAAATTATGATCAAACAGTATCTGGTACTGCCAGAAAGTTTTCTGGGAATTTATCTAGTGAATCCACAGTCTTTATAAACTATGCCACACAAATTTTGGTTTTCTTTCTGCACACTGATAGAATGGTACATTTTACAAAGCCTGTACTTACCAGAATACTGAACACAAAAAATTGGAGTTGGCTTACAAGTAACAGATATCTGTTTCTCATATTTGATTGGAGGATCCCCGTCCAATGGATATTCTTTATTTTTACTTCAAAGAAGGAAAAAAGAAAGAAAGTACATTTTCATTTCAGTTATGAAATAAATGTTCTTTGGGAACTATTATAAACACCATTATATAAATATTTCCTGGAAAACTTATGTTAAATTCAAGGTAAGAGCCAAATGAATTTTAAATTGTCATACTTAAATTACCCTGATCACCGTTATGAATTCATGAGATCAAGAATTAACATAGACTTGTAAAAAAATCAAGTTTCTTAAGTTGCATAGCTATCTAACAAAATTATTTAAAAAATGCAAACTCTACCTTCTTGTGACAAAAAGCAATATTAACTAAAAAAAAAAAAGGCAATTTAACTAAGAAAAAAACAACACACACACACAAAATTTACAGTACTTAGTAGCTTAACCTATCATAAAACAGTGTAAACCAAAAAAGAAATTATCTGAAGTGCTCATGTAAAAGCTTACCCATGTGTGCAAGGATTAAAAAAACTTAGTCTTGAGCTATTAAGTGGTTTTTCTTAATGCTCTAACAGCTCTTTTTAAATGAGAAAAATGATGGTATTAATCATTCTTTACTTTTATGTTTGTACTACATAGACAAAAAGACTATATAATAGTAAAGAGAAAAATGGGTGCAATATCCTCATTTAACATTCCACAAAAATTAACATGAAAGTGCCACCTCTAAAAAAACATCTGTTGTTTGAGTCCACAGTGATGAAGATTCCACTTCGGAATGGTCAGTTTGCACCATTATGTATATTCTGTTTAAATCCATTAAATCTCTGTATTAGCTTAAGATAACATGATTTCAGGGGTGAACAAGGCACATGATCTGAAATCACTATGTCTCTCTGTGCCACATTCAGCTGTTTTTCTGACTGGAATTGCAGCTTAAGAACATTCTGGGACTTCACTTCCAACCATATTTAGCATCCGTTCCTCTTTCTATCAATACAAATCTAAGAAAATAGATATGTATATTTTCTTTTATATGAAACACTCAAATTTAATTGATAGTCTGATAATCCCAATCACTTGCTGCAGTCATTTTATATCAAATTTACAAAGCCTTTTAGTTCCAGAGATACACCTAACTAAAAAATTCAAATGAAAGTAACAGAGACAAATATTTTCAATAGAACTCTAATTATCCTCATTTTAATTTGTTCCTCCTCTAATGGAGTTACTGGATTACTTACCATTTACAACTGGTCTTCCACTTTGATACCTCTTTTTTATTCAGGTTAGTATTAGGAGAAAACATGGTCCTTCTATGAGAAAGAAAATAGACTCTTCTAGATGAAACATTAAACATTGCATGAGAAAAACAACTTATTTAAAACAAAAGCAATCCTACTTCCTTCTTACTATTTATGTCTACTGGTAATGTCAGTAGGTAAGAGAATGTACTCTTTGATCACAATATAGATTTCTAATGACCTAATGCCTGAGTTTGCACTTTAATTTCTGTGAGTTGTTTGTTGAATAATGCACTCCAAAGGACAAAATCCATTCAAATAAAGTTCTCAAACAATTCTTCCTGCAAGCTGAAGAAACAAGAGTAATCAGATGAAAGAGTCAAGATGCCTAATACGGATTTCAAAAGGAAGCTGAACAATAACCAGAAGCTGTGAAAATTCTGTTTTGCAATATATTTTTCAATTCTTTTGTTTGATAACATCATAACTGTTTTTCACAGGTAATTAATTTCACAGTCATAAGACTACATGGCTCTATTATGTGCAAAAATATCACACATCAATAAAACAGGCAAAATAGTAATATATCTACTCACCGTGGTGCTGCTGTATATCCTGATGATTTAATTTTATTATGGAAAACCAATGGCTTATCTTTCACTGTGCTTTTCACTCCTATAATAATTTAATTTACATTAAAATGGGGGGGTTAACATTATATTTTTACAGTTAAGGTAGATAGGCTAGCCCAGCATAAATATTGGATGTCTCCTTATGTTGCAAAACACATTTCTGACCAACCACTCTACAATAATGATTACCGAGAAAGGAAAGAAACATGAACTGTTGCATTGTATAGCATCCCTTCTCCAAAAATATGAACGACTAAGAACTTCTTTAAACTTTGAAGTAGCAAGAATATTGTTCTGAATCACTTTTTTTCATCATTCATTCACAAATGTGTTTTTTGGCTGCCTATTTTATGCTTAGACTTTGTATGCACTACCTATAATGTAGTCACACCTTATATTTGGAATATAAAAATCATCTAAAGATCATTAACAAACTGACTGATGGATATATGTAAGTATTTGTGCTTCTATGGGTCTTAGGTCATTGGTACTTGTCTGTATGCACACTGCCACACTAAGAAGCCTGAAGGGCAGCCTACAGTCCCAAACTGAATATGAGCATTTCATATCAGCAGAAACAAACAAAACAAATAAATGTTGTAAAGGGGAAAATCCTGTTGATATTCCCAGAGAAAAACTTCAGATGCATTGGAAGTGATCTCATGGATACATTTAGCTATGCTGAGGATGGAATTCCCTCCAACTTTCACTGTCCTTTCTCTTTACGTAGCAATGAGGCAGAAAAAGGTCCTTCCTGAGAAGGAATGGCCACTTGCCTGAAGAGACCAAAGGATTTCCTTACAGCATTTATCTGATCATGAGATGTCAATAAAGGTAGCACAGGTGTCAGTGCTGGGTGTCCAAAGCAGCCTGGAATTCTAGCTAAAACACTGTAGATGCATTCTCAGAATATCATAAACCACTAAAGACATAACCTTTGACATTCTAACAGGTCCAAAAATAGATTATTTCTACATGTCTACAGCTACCAGCATTTTTACATCCTTCTTAAGTAAAAGCTGATGACGAAAACATTTTGTAAGTATTTTTTGCACTTTGCTTTGTTGTTGCTAACTAAAGAAAAGCTATCAGTGCTTCAACAGCAATTGGAAGTCAGATCTCTTTTTTTAAACAGTAGGACAATGAGACAAAAATTAACTTCCTAAACTTGCAGATATTGACAAAAGACTATCCAGGACAACAAAATTTACCAAAACAGGTAACCAACGTTAAGAAAGAAATGACAAATTATACAAAAAGATACACTGCATGATATTGAAAAAGAATGACTTATGAAAATATAAACATTCTACACTCTAATACTTAAAATACACAGCAGATTCTCAGAGAATTGCTTTTGAAAGAAGAAAAATACTTATTAACATCATTTTCAACTAGAATACATATGTAGGATATGAAATAATGTTAGCAGTATAAAATTCTTCCTACTAAAGTAAAAATATAATGTAATGTATATTTAAAACAGAAATAAATATATTGATTGTATTAGGCACAAGCCAGTTGGAAGTCAGTTACTTTTATTAAAAATATAACTTTATTAATTAATTTCAAGATTGGTTTATACTTACCAAATGTTTTACTAGAAGGTTCTTTCCTGTTTTTCTTTAAACCATTAAGCAATGGAGAATTTGTCAATAAAGAACACCTAAGTTATAAAACCAAGAACAAAACCTGATCAATGCAATGGACAAAAGTATCAGACTAGGAAAAGCTATCAGAACTGCCTTTTAGCTATTCTTCTGCATGTGGGCATGTATATGTGCAACAACAGTAATGACATTTTAATAAAAACAAACAAGGTGGCATAGTGGATTAGTTATCAGCTCAGATACCTAGCAGAACAGACAAGCCTTGGCCCTGACTGGATTCACAGATGATTGCATTCACATGTTAGATCCTATTTCATGTTGACCCGATTTTATTATAAGCACTGAAATCTGCACTTCCGTGTATATTGCAGGGTTTTTGTTGTCTTTAAGATGTCAGTATTTTCTCATAAATCATTTACAGGGACTTAAAGGACAAGAAGGTGGTAGTCAGCAGGAATTCACCAAGGGTGAACTTGATAAACTTCTGTGATAAAATGAGTGGCTCAGTAGATGAGGAGAGAGCAGTGGATCTTGTCTACTTTGACTTCAGTAAGGTTTTTCACACTGTTCCCCATAAGATTCTCATGGAGAAGCTGATGAAGTATGGGCTGGGTGAGCCCACACTGAAGTGGACTGAAAACCAGACGACTAGCAGAGTACATCAGGCGTCAATATTGGGACCAATTCCATTCAACATCTGCATTAATAATCTGGATGAAGGAGCAGAGTGTACCCTCACCATGTTTTCTGATGACACAAAACTGAGAGGAGTGTCTTTAAGAGCAGAAATTTGTGCTGCCATCCAGAGAGACATTTATTGTCTGGAGAAATGGGCTAACAGCAACCTTGTGAAGTTCATCAGGGTGCAATGCAAAGTCCTGCACCAGAGGAGGAACAAACCTATGCAGCAGTATATGCTGTAAAGCAGAGTCCAGTGCCCACTGACAAGACAAGAGGCAATGCACAAAAGATGAAACAGAGGAGAGTCTGTCTGAACAGCAGGAAATACTTTTGTACTGTGAGGATTATTGAGCACTGGCCCAGGCTTCCCAGAGAGCATGTGGTCTCTCCCTCCTTGGAGATATCCAAAAGTTGTTTGGAAGTTGGGGTGGTTTCACCCACCTGCCCCCCCCCCCCCCCCCCCCCCCCCCCTTGGGGCTGGAAATGGTTAATCCCAAGTAAATTTCTGATGTAGGACCAATGGAGAGCTGTGTTTCGCCCCCGTGAAATTAACTTATCACAACAACTGGGAAGGGAAGCTGTTGGCATAGCTGGAAAATCGGGCAGCCATGTAAGTGCCGAGGGGAGTCCCCCTCGAGTTTGGGGGAGCCCCTGGGCCCCTGCTGCCCTGGCCCAGCCAGGGCTGCGGGAGTTTTTCGCCGTTTTCCCCCTCCCCACTGCCAGCGGAGGTGGCGGAACAGCCCCCAGTGGCCAGATGGGGCTGGAGCTGGGCCCTCGGCGGCCAGGCACGGCACTGGAGGGAGAGAGAAACTCCCCAGGAGTTTCCCAACCGGCCTCACCGCCTTCCCCCACAGCGGGTGGGAGGGGTGGTGAGGAGCTGGTTGGGCCCTGCGGCAGCCACGGAGTAGCCCGGGACAGGTTGGAGCGGCAGCCGTGACGCCGGTGAGGCGGTGATGGCCCGGGGCCGTCCAACTCTGGCCCTGAGTAAGGCCCTGTGAAAAAGTGGTGACAGCAACGCACAGAATAGAGCAGAGCAGGCCAAGAATATGGCATAGAGCCAACCGAGCAGGTTTTTCTGAGATGAAACTCTAATGGAATTTCAAGGTATATAAAAGACTGAGCAAAACCTAGAAAAATGCTGCGACCTGAGGGGGGAGAATAGATCCAGCGTGGAGGAGTCCTTGAACCTTACCCCCCCAGGAGGAACCCTACAGGACAGGAAAAAAGCCTCAAAAACTTTAATTCCTTGACTGTGGCGAAGACCTGGTGAGAGGAGAGTTCCCTCAAAACCCAGGAGATGCTGTGGAGGAGCTGCTCGACAGAGGCCGAGCAGTTGGTGGGGGCGCAGCCCAACCCCCAAAACTCCAGTTGAGAAAGAGAGACTTCAACTATCGCCCTGAAAACTTCTCCTGAACTGATGTGGGAGGGTCTAGGGGTGGTAGAAATTGTGTTAATACTATGTATCTATTTATTCTTTAGTTTAAGTTTCTGTAGTTATAGTTTTCATACTTAAGATTATATATATATATATGCATATATGTATTATAATATTTATTGTGTTAGTAATTTTAATATAATTCCCTTCCCCCATGCTGAGTTGTGTCTGTCTGAAAACCTCTCTCACTCCTGAAAAAACTGTGGGAAAGCTTGGAAATTGGATTTTTGGGGTGCTGGCCAACTGACTCCAAGTGGATGTGTTTGAACAAGCTAGTTGGACAAGGTGACCTGCAGAGGTGCCTTCCAAATTGAACCATTCTGTGATTCTGTGATTTCTCACACTCTATACAACTAAAGCATGACAGGAAAAGAAGTAAAATAAAACCATGTCAACAAATAGCACTGTACAATACCATGTGATGCACCTTATTTGCCAGGTAAACAAATGCCCAATCCAACACAGAGAAAAAAAACATTGAATTATTCTGTACCTGGCAATAACTGATAAACTGTTCTTATTTCCACATGGGAGAAAAACGTTGTTCTGAGTTCTCACCAATGTAGCAAGGTTAACTTCCAACACAGCAATCATATCTTCAAACATCGAAGTGATCAAGCACAAAACCTGCAGCAATTATACCATAAAATAATACTCTGTTTACAAGCTCCAACAACAAAGCATTTATAATGGAAAATCATTTTCTGTCATTTATGAAAATTAGTCAAAAATATCCATGGATTTGGTCCTGAAGAGCATTAAGCAGTAAAGAGTGGTTAATACTGTCCTTCAAAACTATGCTTATGTTGCTTAAATAAGTGTCTTAACAGTCCTGCATACATAACAGAGAGAGGAATTCCAACAGCTTCTACACTGGACATATTTCTGCAGTAACAGTTGTGAGACAAGAAGTACATGGAAGAAAGATTGGCTTCAGCAACATGAACAAAACATTCTAAGAGCTGATTTTAAAACAAAATCCTTCTCTAAAGGAAGACACTGGTTTTTTAAGTATACAGAAAGGCGTAGATTAAACTCAGTTCTGTAGGAAACCTGCAACATCAGAAATGGAGTATACAGACCAGAATGCCTTCCAGTTCCTTAAATCCCTTTTAATGACTTTCCACAACTCAAATAGTTTTGACAGACTTCTTGGAAGGATTCAAAAGTAGTTCATCCTAACATTTGTTTGAGAAACAAGGTATAACAATGCTTATATCTTTTTTCCCCTAAAAGATTGCCTCTCCTTCCCCAGTGGTCATTCTTAACATTCAAGATACACACCAAACACTATAAAAATTCACCTTCTCCTTATTAATCCCTATAGACTATATACAAGCTGTGAGAGCTTTAGAACTATCCAGCTATTAAAACTAGTAGATCTCATACAGTAGAACCAGTCCTCTCCAAAGAAATTACTGTGTAATTCACACTAAGTAAAACAAATGCGCGCATTAATCTCTAAAAAACCATATAATTACTAGCTATTGGACATACTGGAAGTGTAAACATTCGTTAAATCAATGCTTGCTGTATACTCACCTTTCCATTAACTGTCTTCTTTGTCAGTGCACATGATCTGGCAAACCGAATGCTGAGGTCACTGTAATCTTTACCAAAGAGAACACAGAGCTATAAAATTGTATTTGCATTTCAGAAGAAAAACCTAACATCTCCAAGACAGAAAAAAAAAATTACTCATACTAATTTGACATGAACCTAATCCACTGTCTTCAGAATATATCCTTCTAGCCTACCCTCACATTATTAAGTAGGAGTAGAATAACATTCCTCGTATTTAACACTCATGAACTGCAAAATTGAACAAAAATTAATTGCCAGCCACTAAACAAATCTAGTGCCAACATGTCTTCTGAGAAAATCAGGGCCAGGAAACCATATAAAAATTAATTGGAAGAAAGCTATTCTTAAAGAAACAGTTTTAATTGTATTCTGCTATTTCACAAACAAATTCTTGTACTATTTATGTCAGATAATGAAAGCAATCATATTATAGTGTAGTCAAATATCTCACAGAACATACCTTTGTAAGATAAAAAAGCTTCTAATTCAAAGTTTGCCAAATTAATTATTAACAAGCCAGTAGAGGTTCCTATCCAAAAATAGCTAGTATTAAGGGCAGAATACCTATTAAAAAGGGAGAAAAATATCTCTGAGTAGCATAGAGAAGCTTTTTTTATTACCACACAACACACAACAAATGGCGTTTTTAATACTTGTTAGGCAGAGCCAGGATAACAAAAATAAACCCCACCAAAATAAAGATTTTTCATTTACAGCATATTTTTTTAAATCTGTAGCTCAAAGTAAAAACTTTCAAACAAAATTGGTGAAGTTTTGAACAGAACACAACCCTTGATTTTACGTAAGTGCTTATGGCAAGTCTAAAACAACATAGGAAATACTTTTCAAAAATTACTGTGGTTTGTAAGAGCTGGGAGATGTTATAAAAGCACTGTATACACAAAGAGTAAATTCAAACCACGAGGCAAATCCACATATAGTCTTACTTTTACCACTTCCACATGAACACTCAAAAAACAGTGAAATTCAAGGTATGTTTGTACATAATTAAAGTATAAGAGAAAAGTCAGCACAAACTAAGAGGAAAAAAAACCCAGCCAAACCCCTGGAATGTCTGTCTCAGCCTGTGCTTAGTGGCAACAGTACTGCAGTTAGGTAATGAAATCCAGCTTTTGGAATCACCACAGAGTAAATCAACGGGTTACAGTTTCAGTCAACACCCTAACAGAAGAAAAATGTTATCAAGCATAAGATGATTGCAACAAAATAACAGCTGTCATTCTCAAAGAACTAAAAATGTTTTGATGCAAGAATACATAAAAATTGACATCAACATCTTAATAAATTTTCCAGATAGGAGTGAGTAGAATTATTAGTTTTATTTGTAAAGTCAGACCACAAGAGTTAAAGTAAGGGAATGAAAAAGTATAAAACTGAAACTTGGTATGAAAATACCACAGCGGCTTAATACCTTTTTTAATTAAAAACAAACAAAAAAACAAACAAACAAAAAAACCCCTCCAAACACATACAGTCAAATAGTTTAAGAAGACCTGAATAGACAGTTTATAAGCAGAACAAAACTTTCAACTGTGATGTGAGAGCTAAAAGAACAAATAATTCTTAGATGTACAATGTGAGGTAGTAACAGGTGGGTATTGGAAAGTGACATTATTTCAATTCAGAAAATTGTTTCAAATAACTTTTTAATGTGGATTCATTTCAGGCAACCATGTTTCAAAAGGAGATTGAAAAAGAAACATTAAAATGTTAAAAATGTTACACAAAACATGCCTTATACAATGTACAAACTGTTTCATCCAGAAGTGCAGAGGTAATTTGCTCATGAGCTAGAATTTGCTATCCAAGGAGGGAACCCAATAGTGGCGGACCCTGGACTACAAGATTAAAAAACGTACTTAAAGCTAATAACGGTACACAAAAAGAGTGTAACTCAGAAGTAAAATGGAATTAGTCAGTTCCTGGAACAACTTAACTAGGGACATGGTGGATTCTTTATCACCAGAAAACTAGTAATCTTTAAAGATGTGCTGTATTTCAAATAAAACCTATGATTTTTATCCAGACAAAACTTTGTTAATTTGAGAGTGATATTATACAAGCAATAAGACTGACTGTAATAATTCATCATATGGCCTTAAAGTGTTATCATTACATTAAAGTATGTCTGAGATGTGCATCTTAAAAATCACCACTTCCTTCCTCTCAATGGCAGTATTTCTCAAAATGCAGGCATCATGAAATTAATTGTTAATAATTACTTAATTTGGACATAAAGACAACCAAAATTATCCAGGACTTCTGGATATTTTTCTTCTTTGTTTACCAGAGGTTGTTTATGTATCAACCAGAGTTTAATCAGTTACATCTGTAAAACCCACCATAGGGCAAAGGTCAGGACAAGAGTTTCCTAAAACACGGTATGGCTGAGAAATTTATCCAAATGACAATTACAAATAACAGAAAACCCCAAGCTGTTCTATAAGACACTTCCTGTGGCAGTGTCCTGAACAGATCCCTGGGTGCCTGATAATATGGATAAATTTATTTTCAGGAAAGAAATGTAACATAAGAATTAATTCATGGAAGGAGTAAAAACATCATGTTCT